ATTTTTTGTTTAATTTTAATTTAATGACCATTCATCCAACAAGTGTTGAATCAGAAAGGGTATTCTCAGGATCTGGATTATTTTGTACAAAAATTAGATCAAAATTAAGAGATAAGACTATAAATAATTTAAATTTCTTGAGAAGTTAATTTTAAAAAATGGTAATCAATAAAATGATATTAGATACTATATATTATTTCTGTTGTATTTTTATTTTTCTGTATTTTTTTTATTTCTGTTTATTTCTATATTTATTACTAGCTGTTACTCACAGCTTTGCCCGCGTGGATTTTGCAAGCAAACCCCATTTATATTCAGTATTTCAACAACCATAGTAATTGTTATATAACACCTACTGCTCAGAATGATGAGAATTGCTGAAAATCAAACGAACTATTTTCAATTTGATCAATTTTCTAGAATGTTTACAATCATTCTATAATCGAACCAATATACAATAACAAATTCGAATTTAAAATGGTTTGAACATTTTTAAAGTTGTTATAAATATTTTTATCTATTTCAATGTCTGAAATGTTATTAATTTAATACACCTAAGTACTCGAAGACTAAATCCTCTCCCGCCCATGGAGGAATTTCGAAAAATCCCTTCTTAGTATGCATTGCCATGGCATACCCTAACTGTACCAAATTTCACCTCTTTAGGTTAAGTGGTTTGCTCTGGGCAATGATGAATCAGTGAGTGAGTGAGTCATTCAGTCAGTCAGTCAGTCAGGACAAGCAATTTTATATATTTAGATTAGAGTTTGTTTAGAATAACACTAATTTTTATATCTGATATCTTTGAAATAAAAAGTGCGAAATGGAAATCATAATGACTTATTTTTTATCACCTTAATTTTATTTTTCAAGAAAAAATTTACCAGTAATTTACTGGTAAACTGGTATTTTAATTTTCATTTACCGAGTTACCAGTAAATGAAAAAGTCGGTAAATTTACAATCCCTAGTAACTAGGGAAATTTTTACATAATATTATATAATTTGAGATAAATTGATTAGTGGTGGTCTTGGGGTGGTCTGGCCAGGAAAAGATACTTCATGCTACTTCGAAATTTTGTACATAAATTTTTTTGTTTCCGAATCAAAAAGACAAGCTATGAGACTTTCCTTTTTATTGGAGTATATTTATTATATAATTATATTACATTTATATAAACTCATTAGATCTATTATAAAATTATCTAATAGTAACAATCAAAATCAAACAATTTGAGTACAAAGTGGTGTAAAGTGCCCTTCCAGACTATCTTGAGACCATCAATTGAATTTGTTAAATATATCACTTATGCAAGTTATGCATTCATAGATAGTGACTAGGATACCTTAGAAGCAAGTATAAATCATACATGACTACTTTGATTCGTTTCAAAGACATACTGAACCAAAAAGCAGTGGGCTTGTCAGACGCCACCCCATGGCCATTTATTTGTTAGAAAAAAAATACAAACAAAGGATAAATAACAAATCATTGCCATGCACAAATCTCTCTCCTGTCATTACCTAACAGAATTATCTCAAGTTACATATGTAAAAACATCCCTGGCCACTCTTAGTTTGACTCATATCCTTTTAATATCTATAATACACAAAAACCTAAAGTCCAGCAAAAGAATTATTACTTATTGATAGCATTGATAGATTACTACTACTCTTAGCAGTCATCTATTGTTAATAAAATAACTGAACAGAATTATTATAATTATTAAATTTTATTTATTGTGTGATTTTAAAAGAATAGGAATTCAAATAAATTTCTAATGGTTGGAACATGCATTTGATTGGACCTGGTAGTAATTGTCATTACTGCCATTTACTCCATTTCTGTTTATGACAAGAGTTGGCCAAAAGCCAGGGGTGTGTTGGGACCAGAATATTGTTCTGGCATTTCTTTCCAGGGACATAATGCTTTCCTAATTTTACTGATTTCCCTTTTTTACTGATTTTGTCAAAAACACCAAATTTTTTCCAAAATAAGACTTTCACAATTAGTTTTTTCATCTGTTTACAAATATTGATAACAGTAAAGTAATTTTTAGAACAGGGACCTGATTTGAGGTT